CACTGTTACCACAAAGAAAGCACTGTTTCATTGACATCATGGATGGCCAAGATTTTTGTTTTCATCTTTTGGGTTTTCAAAAAGAGAATGGCAAAGAAAAGAGCCTGCAAAAGGGGTAATAAAGAAATGGTGAATGGGAATGGAATACATGCTGTCATACTAGGAATGGGTCTCCCATCTTTATCGGCTTCCAATAAAGATGCTAGTTTTGGAGGAACTCAACAAACCACACTACTGACCCCTCACCACTTCTGACCAAACCAACATCATATGACCAGACTTGTCAATTCGGTTTTCACAACGTTAGACCGATAGAGCTATCTTAGTTCTTGATCACAAACGCAAATTACAGTCCACAGATGAGAGAAAAGGAGCATATATACCTGTCAAAAGTCTCGAGCTCTACTTTGCTTGTTGTATTCTTTTCATTCACCTGCAGGTGAGTGGGGAAAGAACAAGTGAACAACCAACCCGTCAGCTTTGGTTATAATGAAGGACTGTGGGACTCAAACATGATTTAACCGATCAAATATTCACACGACAAATTAGGCCTGCAATAAACTCGATTACCTGTTCTAGTCATATCATCATAGTATGCTAAAACAAGATGCATTAGTGCTATCAAACCAATCAGTTTAACTATATAGAAGCATATATTCTACTTGAAGAGTCAACATCATATAGTTTACAAGGAACTTCTCAGTGTGTCAAAAGTAACATTCTTCATTTTTTTTTCTTTACTAAGTTAAATGCAGGTACTATTATGGCTTACTTTTACAGTGCCTTTACGATTGTGATCAGTTTTAAAGCAAGAACAATAAGTTCATAGAGAGTGGTATATATTATTGAAGTGGTAAGATGATCTTGATTGCACTTTGCAAAGCTTGTTAAAACTGGAGTCTATGTCAGTCTAATAATTGCATATGGACCCCAGCTTCCATTGTTTATAGACACAATTTGATTAAACTTTCCTCGGCCAACTGTGAACCGACTGACTTGGATTCTCTGGATAAGAAAGGGGAAACAAAAATGATAAAACCAGCAAGAATTTAGCCATTAGCCTTACTTAAAGAGGACCACAGATTGTGCGTTACTGCAGCTTTAACCATGCTCAGAATAGGCCTCTCCTGCCAGACTAAACATTCAGTTCGGTTTAAATAAACAGACGTTAGTTCGTTGCCAATATCACTATAATGTGTGCTTCTGTGTGCCCCGGTTTTTTTTTTTTGTTTTTTGTTTTTTTTTTTTTTGAGTACTACTGACTCTGTTACAATACAATATCTGTTCATAACTACTTTCTCAACCTACTGAAGCACAAAGAGTCAATAACGCCTCCACCTCCATTGAGGCTCGAATCCACAACCTCCCATATGGGAAAGCAACTTGGTGCCACTAGACCACAAGGTCCTTGGCTCGGTTTTTGGTTATTAAATACACAGAATCTGCAGAATTCAGAATCAAAACTGAAGCTTTCGAACCTTTCATTAAAAAATTTGGGTTCAACAGGCAGCAAGAGGTCTCAGTAGCTTTGACTACCTCGTGTTCTGTAAACAAGTGACAGGGTATCTTTCTGCACAACAACACAGGGAGGTTTAGCAAAAAACAATGTTATCACCAGTAATATTTTAACCATTTACTACATAGAAGCAAGTGACAAACATGATATGAACTTAGGCTAAGAGATTAAAGAAAATAGTTCGGTAAGGGCAATGGGGGTGGACCTAAGATCTCCCGCCTAGTGTCACAGCTTATAGTTAATTATGTTGCTAGACTATAAGGACTTTGGCAACTTCTAGGACATATAAGTTCCTAGGAAGCTTCGTTCTTCACATCTATGTTGTCCAATACTTAGTACCCACTCTACCAGAAAGGCCAAGAAGCGTTTTGTTATTTGATGAATCCTGATTCTCAAACCAGCAAAAGACAAAGCATGTTTCAGAAGGCTGTCCCTTTAAAATTGTATTACATGAAGATTCATAGTTTTGGACAAAGTCTAGGAACATGATTCCTATAATTTCATAAAAACATCAAATGAAATGAGCCTAAACATATTTGGGCCTAAAAACTTATTGGGCCGGGACTGCTAGACTATCCAGATGTTATGGTTCAAACATTTTCCATGTTTCAGGAATACTGATGCATCATCTAGCCAAGAACAGAACGAGTCATTCTAACCTTAACGAACACTTGAAGTCATCTGGATTTCGCTTCCTGCTCCCCGAATGAGGCGACTGGAAGACAAATAAGGCGGTTTTCTTCACCAATCTCAAGGCAATCTGCTACACCTCCCCTGGTCACCCCCGGGTGACCGAGAACTCTCTTACCTTCTTCAACTATGTTTTCCAGTAATTACAAAACTAGCTCAACAAATCATTCAAAGCAGCCCGCCAAAATTATGCTAGGATCTCAAGTTTAATAACACTAGCACAGTCATACATATGAACACCAACCAAAATGCCTGCTTTCAAGCAGTTCCTTAACTAATCCAACAGCCTAATACATTAGACAGCAAGGAACATCATTCCACGATTCACTTACCTGTTCTCAACACTGCAATAAACATCATTTGTGTTGGACCAACATAATTCCGATTTGAATAATTCTTTTGTTTAAATCAAGATCCCATATTACAAGGAGAGTTAGAGATCCTAATTCTGTGCCTTGATCCTACTCACCTATATAGAGGCATTTAGGATTTGTAATGATGAACAAGCATAAAAAAACATCAACCATCTGCTATAATATTCCTTCTGTTCTTTTCTTTCCGTCCCGTGTCTACTATAATAGTTGTTGCAATATCAATTTAAACACACCTCTGTTCTGCAACTTTATACTTCAATTTTCTACAAACTGGTATCAGAAGCTTCAGTTGTTCTTGAATAAATAATAAAGTAATAAGAAGAAGCTTTCCATAGCAGACAACTTGGAAAACTTTCTCCACATAACCATAATGAATAGCAAAGACAATACAGGAATAAAATTCTTATTTATATGAAATATAATTTGAACAAGATTCACCATATCTGCACAAGAAATGATGAGGGTAGTTAAAGATCACATTCCATTTTCTTCACAAGAATTTTGCAATTTACATACCTCAGAAAGTGACTAAACTATTGAACCAAACAAAAATTCATTTTTTTTAGTCAAAACCCTTTTGGACCAGACTCCTTCAAATCCACAGGTTGCTCAGCCATGGAGAGGCAATACTTAGCAATTTCTCTGAACTTTGGCACACTCCTCAGGTCGACCTTAGTACCATCTTTGAGAGTGATGACAATGTCACCCCACTCCCCGATGAACCTAGGCACGACCTGAACATCCTTGATGACTTTGTACGAGAAATCGCTTCTGTCCTGCCCAGTCAGGCCGGAGATCACGGTGACCCGCAGATTGGTGAATCTGTAGCGGAGAAAGAAGGCTCTGAAAACTGCGGCGAGAGTGAGCGGCAGCCAGAGAAGAGTGAAACCCAGAAGGAGGTTGGCTACGAGGTCGCCGTAGTGGGCTCCGCCGTCGAAAAAGACGGTTTCTTGGGAGGATTTGGCGGTGGCGGCGGCGGCGGCGGATGGCTTGGAGGAGACGTGGAGTCTGGTGATAGGTCTGGTGGATTTTGAGGCGTGGGAAGTGAATGGCGGGTTGGGAATTGCGCAGAGATAACGGTGGTGGTTGTGGGAGCTGATGGTGGTGGCGGCCGGAGAGAGGAGTCGAGAGGCAGAGGTGGTGGCGGCCATGGCCGGTTTATCCGTTAGGAAACACAGTTGGGTGACTGAAAGAGTTTTGATTATGAGGTTTTTTTTTTTTTTTTTTTTTTTTTTTTTTTTTTTTTTTTGTGACTAGTAAGAGTCCACGTGGCACGTTGTGAGCTGTTTCTTTTGTGGAATTTTAAGGGAATTGATTGCCCCCAATTTTTGGCCATTTAAGATTATTCTTCTCCACTTATTTGCTTTTATTTATGAATTTCAATTGCATTTTATAATCATTCAATTATTATCAAAGTTACACAGTTGCTTTATAAGCAAGGACCAAATTATGCTTCAAACTAAATACTTGTCATAATCGAAAAACTAAAGTGCTACTTTCCCATATATAATTATGCTTCAAATTTGCATCTTTATTGTTTGTGTGAAAAAATATCCACGGATTGATCAAATTTGAGAGCTACCAAATAGGAAGTCACAAGTTCGAACCTCAATAAGAACATACTACACTGTAATAGAGTCAATTGTACTCAAATATTGCCCATTTATGTTACATGTTATTTACTAGTTTTTTTTTTGTTCTAAGTCAATACATTTATTGATGTGTGCACCGAATATCTTAGTTGATTTCTAGGTAACAGATCGCTAGAGCTTCACCTTCTTGTGGGCACCAAACACTGGTCCACCACAATTTTGTCAGGCTAGGGTGTGAAGAGACAAGAGGTTTCAGCTTTTGTGGACAAATACATTTACTGATAAGAAAAACTCACCATCTTCTTCTTTTTTCTTTTTTTCTTTTTCTATTTTATCCGTTTGGAATGCAAGAAAATGACTTTAGGAAAATGAGTCCTTTTTCGAAAAACATTTTCCTTTCCGATGTTTGGCTGCAACAACATAAAATTGTCTGTGTGTTTGGTTCATTTTCCAGAAAATTAGCAGGAAAATAAACAAAATTGTATACTTCACCATTTTAATTGTTATAATGCAAAGAGAGATTTAACTTATCTGGCTTCTGTGCGGAGAAGAAAGCTACGTGCGAAGAAAAGCTACGGTTTCTGGCCTCTGTGCAAAGAAGAGAAGCGGAAAATGACTTCCCCTCAAAATGACCCAATTTTCCATTGACCAAGCTTCATTTTCCATTGACTTTACTATTTTACTCCTTGCCAAACACTAGAAACCCGGAACATGATTTGCAGAAATCATTTTCCGGGTTTCCAAACACACAAGAAAAGTAGAGAATGCATATATTTGTATATTTTTCTATTTTGAAACTGGAAAATGGGAGAAAGAAAAACTGTAGAATTGAAGTAAACAGAAGTATAGTGATAGTATGCATTGTGAAAGATGATACAAGTATAGTCTATAGACATAGTGTGGGCAGACCAAAGAGTTTGCCCTTTTACAACAGATCATCTATATCTACTAATGGATCACATACAAAGAATTGTAAAGAGCACCTAGCTAATATCCTGTCACTACATGTATTTCATTATATGAATTGTAATGTAATTATATATTCTACACCTCGAACGTCGTTCCCTTGCCAAAATTGTGAGAAAAAAAAATGAATTGATTGTGGGAGTGCACGGACCATTATGGATTGCAAGCTTTCTTGGTTCATCGGTTATCAAAAATGAAGGCCGGTTGATCTAAACGCGTTTCTCGAGAGAGTAGGCAGTTTGAGTGTAGCAATGACACCAGCCCCAAGTGCGAATATAGAGGCCAGGGCAAACGCGGGTATGTTCCCTCCGCCAAATAAGGCGTCCCATGGACCCGCACCAAGTGAGATAACCATCTAGCGAGAATGGTGGATATTGTCATTGCATAGAGCAAATAGAGTACGGGTGTGTTTAGAAGAGAAACAGATGATTGATTAACCTACCTGTGGTACAACGATGGCGAGGTTGAGAACTCCTATGGCCAAACCTGCCCATGAATCGAATTTCAAGAATCATAAAATTGCCTCATTATCTAGCAGAGATTATAAAATCTCAAATGCATAACAAAATACCTTGTCCACCGCCAGCATCAGCAGTCAAATCTGCCGTAACGGAGAAAGGGACACTGTAAGTGATCTGGCATGAAATAAAGTTGGGTCAGTTAGAACATGTTCTTCTGTAAAAGACGGAATGAACACGGGCAGTATAAGAACTTACAGCAAGGGGAATGCCGAGAAGAGCAAAAACAATCAACGAGGCAACTTTAGTTGATTCACTCGCCCCAATAACATGTTGAACTCCCTGTGACGATTCATTAAGAGAAACATAGCTAATAACAGTAGTCCCTGCCATGCACATAAGCACCATAAAATTGCTCACAGCCCAAACCAGTCTAGCACCAATCATCTGGCACAACGGATCAATAAAGAAAGAGGTTACGCCAAGAACAACCTGTTCAAAACAAAGTCACCAACATTATTCAGGATTTTATAAAAAAAAATTATTCAAAAAAAAACAAACAGCGAAAAGGATGTTCCATGGTTTAGATGATGGTCAATTTTGAGTTCTTACAGAATTCAATAGCAAACCAAATGCACCTTCTCTGACACCTTGATTATAAGCTTTTACTTCAGAAGCATCTCCATTCGGGTTCCCGTGATAGACTTCTCTTCCCATCCAATCAGTGTCAAAAAGAAAAAAGGGAAACCAAGACAACTGGATACAACAGTCGTGGACAGCATATTAGTAAAGAGGGGAGGGGACTAAGAAGATCAAAGCCATGAAACATTATTATTAGGGAAAGTTACACTTTTCGTCCCTAAGTTATAGGGTAATTGTAGAATTCGTCCCTAAGTGTTGGCCATACTCACTTTTCGTCCCTAAGTTATCATTGACGTTGTACTTTTTGTCCCTTTACTAATAAAACATTAGGGACGAAATTTGCAATTTTACTATAACTCAGGGACAAAAAGTGCAACGCCAATGATAACTCAAGGACAAAAAGTGAGTATGACCAACACTCAGGGACGAATTTTACAATTACCCTATAACTTAGGGACGAAAAGTGCATTTTTTCCTTATTATTATTAATAACAAAGTTCCTGCAAGTCTGACTTGCATAATCAAAATGAACTCTTAACAGGTAACTAATCATGGCCAAGCACTTACCCAAGTCAATGCCATGACAATAAGAACTGAATGCATTGCTGGAGGCAAATGTCTTAAGCTAGTCAATAGATTAACCAAAACTGCAGCAGGACTATCATTAAAGCTATTGGCTTGGTCAGGACTATCATTAAAGCTATCGGCTTGGTCAGGACTATCAGTAAAGCTATCGGCTTTGTTAGGACTATCATTAAAGCTATCGGCTCGGTCATTCACTCCCTCTCGGTCTTCATGTATTGGATTATTATCCATATAACCATTCTCAGATTTGTTGTCAGATACAAAGTTGATGGGCTCCATATCATCTTTAGCTTGTGCAAGTTCAAAATCAGTATTAGGAGGACGGTCCAAGAGAGGAGAAGAATCTGCTAACTGGCGAGATTGATTGGGAGTCAGTGGGACTTCCTTTGCAAAGTGGAGAGTGACTAGTGTACACAGAGTCAGAAAAACCTGTAAGAAATGCAGAAACTTCTTTCAGGGCATAAAATAAAAAACATATATATGTGGAAAGACCGAAAGAGCTGAACGCACAACAGCAGCAAGTATATTTGATTGAAGTGCTACAGAGTATTTTACAAGAAAAATCAACAAACTTTGAAGTTGAAAACAAGATAGGCGGGGGTGCCTTGTCCCAAGAAAATAAATGCTCTCACATAAAAATCCTCAACTACAGGAATTATAAGGAATACATTTTTTGCTCTAGACTCTCTAAAGCAACATACTCACCACAGCAATTAAAAATGCTGCCTTGAGATTCCCACATGGCGCACAACAAGCTCTGCTCATCAGAAAAGGAAACCATCTATCCAGAGACCAAGTTCCAAGAAAAAAAAATATTAGGGTTTAGTATCTTGTGAAAAGCTAATAAATAGAAACAAATAATTTGTTTGAAGAATTTAATATGAAAAGGAGTTTGTGTCATGTATAACAGTGGAATACATAAAAATCACTGTGATTGCTTAGAAGCAAAAGCTGTTAACCTGTGCCAATTTCCACTGGCACCAGCAGAAAATCCTAGAATGTTTCCAACAGCCATCCAGGAGCAAAACACAGCATTCGCAGTATTTCTTTGTTCAGGACCTGTCATCAAAGTGAAGATATTCATAATGGAAAATTCGTATAGGAGAGAATTTCACCCTTCCTCTTCTTATAGCAGTAGTATTACCTGATAAATCAGCCAAAAGAGCTCGAGCTGGGCCCTGTGAATTATTATAAAAGTTTATTTTATTATATTTCTCTTAACAATATCCAATAGCTCCAAACATTTACTAAAAATAAAAACTTTTTTGCACTAACCTGTACAGTATTGTTTGCAAGATCCAACAGCCAGAATCCAACAATGAACACAGAAGCAGCCCTTATGCGAGTACCTTTAAAAGTGCTGTATTTTTGCAATCTGGTTACGAATTTCATATCTAAAATTAGGAAAATTAGAAACTTACACAAACAGGAAGCATTAAGAACCTGCAGTTCTCTTTCGTGTCACCTAAAATGTATCCTATGTCTGCAGAAAATCCAATTATTATCACCTATATTAAAATATCAAGTTAGCTTGTATGGATGTTACAAGTAAATGCAATCATCTAAAGATAAACACAAGTACTTAATGCTCACAGAAATGGAGATCATGAGAGATCCAATAAATATAAATGGTCGTCTTCTACCGTATTTGGAAGAGCATTTATCACTCCATATTCCAACACATGGTTGTACCTGAAAGAAAGAGACAAATGTTGTTCAGAACTTGCTTAAACTTTAACAAAGACAATGAGAAGATTGCTAACAACTTTCATTCTTTGTAAAAACTCATAAGTTCCAAAAATGTCCGAGTTCAAAATCGTTACATAAATTTAAGATATTAATCAAAAGTGAAAATCACCATGTCAGAAATTCGTAAATCCACAGAGTTTTGCCTTCCTAGTAAAATTTTGCATTGGCTTAAAACAACAACCTGACCACTTTTATATTTAACCACATCATTTGCCACTTATCATGGAAAATCTCTCTCTTCAACTAAAGTTCAGCAAGATTAACTTAAACAATGATAACACCAAGATGGTACTTATGATAGTTGAAAAGTAACGAATCAAAACCTACCACAAGACCTGTAATCGGACCGCATAGCCAAATAAATGAAGAAAAAGCGTGTGGTATTCCAAGAGTCTGCACCAAACAGTGACGTCAGAGTTGAGCAAACTTAAGAATGGAAAGTACAAACATGCATATGAAACTTGAACTAGCTAATGGGAAATCCAGAAAGGAAATGATCATTAAAATGATTTCCTAATTTTATGCACCTAACTGCAAAATGCTTTGATTCAGGGTGGCACAGTTAGCATACGTAATCCCGGATCCATAAAGAATACTGCTATTTTCAAGGAAATCAAAAGCTTTTTATGGTCCTTAAAATCTCCATTTTTCTCAGGAGCATTACAAAATATCACGAAGCAATATATACACACTAAAGTAGAAGAGCAACTAGGCATCTAGGCATGCATCAACTCCATACTAGATTATTTGCAACTTTTTTCTGAAATTTAATTTCCTTTTGATTCCGACTATAATTCAAATAGATTATATTGTCTGCTCAAGTTGAAAATCCGTAAAGTCTTCATCTGCATTCAAAATTTAGCATCAAATCTCGCATCGAAACACTAACTCAGCTAACGCAGATCCAAACAATACTTCAAACTCTTCACACAACTAAACAATGCACATCGCCAAACACGCAAAGAGGAATACCTGAATATAAGGAGTGAGGAGAGAGAGTTGCAATGCCCAGCCAAACTGGACGCCGGCGGCGACCGTACAACTGAGGATCAAGGTGAGCAGGCTGATCTGAACAGGCGACTGATGGTGACTAGAATCCGTGGAGTCGCCATTGGAAACCCTATGAGGTGAAAACGCCGAATCGGCCTGTGACCGACGCTGATGAAGCTCCTCCGCCCCTGCCAACTCCACCTCCTGCTTTAAATTCAAGTACGGCACCTTGATTGACACCACCTCCATCATCTTCGCCTCCTTCCCACCTCCCCTTCCACTGATCCACTCAATTCACGCCCAATTTTTTCACATCCAAATGTCCAAAGCTCTAAATCATCTGAATGCCGACGAGTGATTTTGACTCGTGCAAATCTAAATTGAATCCGATTCAAACGAATTGATTGATTATCCAAATGGGTGCAATTAAGAGAGAAGAGATGAAGATTCACAGATCAAAATTTGGGCGCGCTTTTGTGTGATTCTCCCTGTCGGGTTTCTTGAGGGTATTCCTTCAGATACAGCGCATCGCCATTGACGCATGAATGAAGTAAATTATCGGGCAATATTAAAGTCAAGAATGACTCCTGATTGTAACATTAGGTAATTTAGGTTCCACGAGAATTCTGTTATCTTTCATTTTGTCGGTTGGTGGGTGAAGTTTGGGAACAATAACTCACTCATATTCATATATATATATATATATATATATATATATATATATATATATATGTGTGTGTGGGGATATATGTTTATATGCATATATAGATTTACAGAGCGTTTGGTTGGAGGGGAGAATTATGTGGGAAAGGAATTGTAATTCCATGGGAGTTGAATTACTGGGAATAAAGTGAGAATTTAAATTCCAGTGTTTGGTTGGCAGGAATAGATTTACTGGGAATTTCAATTCCAATGTTTGGTATACATGGGAATTGAAAGGGAATAAGTAGTATAAAGTCAAAAATGTCCATTATTGTTGTTAGACCATCTCCAAAGGCAGCGCCATTGCGCCAAAACACCAAAAAAAATGCTCCAACCCAGCGCCATTTCACCAAAATTTTGGCGCACTGTGAACAGTGCACCAAAGCGCTATATTTTTTTTTTTTTCATTTTAACCCCTCTTGTTTGTTTAATTCCATTTGTGTTTTGTTTTTGGTTTTAATATATTTGTTTATTTTGTTAAATTGTCAACTATAAATTTTATATTATTTAAAATGAATTATATCATTTGAAAGATCTCATCAAGACGATTAAAATAAGTCTAATATTGAACATAGATTAATTAAAAATGAAAACACATAAAACTTAATTATAACAAAATTAAAGGAAATTACATACTTAATTTAAAGCTAACACATAAAACTTAATTAAAACTACTTTAAACATACTTAATTTAAAACAAACACATAGAACTTAATTAAAACTACTTTAAACATACTTAATTCAATAATCTCCTAGGCCAGCATCATTTCCTCCCAAATGATTAAAATATTGAGTAAACTGACTGCTTGATTCTTCTCCTCCAAGTGGTTGACGAGCTCTCTTTGCATGAATTTGTAATTGTGTATTTTTAAGCCAATCACGCCTTATTGGATCTGTGATGGAATCAACATCTATGCTCATGATTCTGTTATCTTCCTGTTCCGCCAACTGCAGTTGCTTTGCTTCATTTTGAAATTTTATCGTTTCATTTTGAGCTTTTATCATTTGAAGCTCATAATTTTTTTGGAGTTGAGTTTGACTTTGTTCGAACATTTGTGCGATCTTTTCATTATGTTCTGTGACTTTGGCAAAATAATCATGACATTCTGCAAATGCTTGCTTCTTCTTTTTTTCCTTGTTACGCCCGGTAGGACGTTCATTGTTCAAGCCCTGACTTTCGAAATCATCGTCTAAGTTAAGGCAAAACGATGATGAACCTATTGACTTATCGCCTTGTGACTCTGCACCTTCAATGTCAGAACTTCGCTTTCGACTTGCAACACTTGGTTCTCTACCCGAAAGACTTTGAAATTTCTCCAAGTCTTTAACAATAGGCCATACATGATCAAATTTAAAACCATTTTTAAATTTGGCATCTTGTTCCATTAGTGCTTTTGCCCTATTAATCTGTTATAAACCACAATTAAAGTAAGTAAATAATACAAACATTCAAAGTATTCACAATTTATATATAAACACAAAATACTCACAATGTCTGTTTCTGAAGCTCCACTCGGATTCAAGTTCTCAACCTGTACAATACATCCTCTGAATTTGGCGACAGCTTTCATTATAGTTTGCATCCGGGACGTAATTGACCTCAATGATCGAGTGCTTCCAACATTTGCTGGTAGCGCTTCATGATAAGCATTCATAATACGAGTCCAAAATACGTCCCCAGCTTGATGATGACCCGTAGCTTTATCTTGGCAAATATTAACATACACATGACAAAGGAGTTTATCTTCCTCAATAGAGTATGAACTAGTTCGAAGAGAATTCAAAGAGCCATGAGTTATATGAATAGAGAATTCAAAGAGTTGTAGTTTCTGATTTGGTGGTGTACTATTATATAGAGTGAAAGCAAAAATCAATTAATGGCTAAGATGGTTGTGATATAATCCTACAGTTGAAAATAATTGCTTTTGGGATTTGGGAAAGATATCATGTCAGATCTTGGATTGTGTGTTGGAAGTATATGAATACCAATTAATGGCTAAGATGGTTGTGATATAATCCTACGATTGAAAACAATTGCTTTTGGGATTTGAAAAAGATATCATGTCAGATCTTGGATTGTGTGTTGGAAGTATATGAATACCAATTAATGGCTAAGATGGTTGTGATATAATCCTACGGTTGAAAACAATTACTTTTGGGATTTGGGAAAGATATCATGTCAGATCTTGGATTGTGTGTTGGAAGTATATGAATACCAATTAATGGCTAAGATGGTTGTGATATAATCCTACGGTTGAAAGCAATTGCTTTTGGGATTTGGGAAAGATATCATATCAGATATATAAATACATGGCATACACACTTATCTTTCACCATAGCAATCCTGAGATATGAATCCCTCACACCCCTTTTCATCATCACCCCAACACCCATCTTCATCCTCGCAAGAGGATGACGATGATCTCATTGCTACAATACAATCACAACAACAAGCACTACTAAGTACGTATGCTAACAACAATGCTGCCATGGCTTACTGTTTGGAGATTATGTCTACTCAAGCCATCAACCCAAGTCATGGCGGTTCAATTTCTGGGCATAGAGTGATTCACCGTGACCGTGAAGATGGTGATCGAAGATTACATGCTGATTATTTTTCAGAAAATCCAAAATATAATGAGGCAATATTTCGTAGACGATTTCGAATGAGTCGAAATTTGTTCTTACGAATTGCCAATGCTGTTGCAGAGCACGACAATTACTTTGTGCAACGGAGAGATACAATCGGTAGACTAGGCTTGTCTACTTTACAAAAAGTAACAGCAGCATTTCGAATTTTGACATATGGAGTAGCAGCAGATGCAATCGATGAATACATTCAAATTGGAGAATCAACAGCAATTGAAAGTTTGAAGAGATTTTGCAGAGCGGTCGTAGAGGTCTTTGGACAACGCTATCTAAGAGCGCCAGATGCTAATGATGTTGCAAGGTTGCTTGAAATTGGTGAGAGGCGTGGCTTTCCAGGGATGCTTGGGAGTTTAGACTGCATGCATTGGACTTGGAAAAACTGTCCAACAGCTTGGGCCGGACAATATGCTGGGCGTAGTCGAGAACCAACTATTGTTCTCGAGGCCGTAGCTGATTATGATTTGTGGATTTGGCATGCACATTTTGGTTTGCCGGGGTCGAATAATGATATTAATGTGTTGGAGGCATCACATTTGTTTGCAAACATTGCAAATGGTACGGCACCTCTTGCTCATTATGTTATTCAAGGGAAAGTGTACGATACAGGATATTATTTAGCTGATGGGATATATCCGAAATGGTCAACCCTGGTGCAAACTATTCATCAGCCCCTAGGACCAAAGAAAAAGTTATTTGCAATGATGCAAGAAGCATGTAGAAAGGATGTAGAACGTGCATTTGGGGTCCTTCAATCAAGATTTGCAATAGTCAAGGGACCAGTACGTTTTTGGGATAAACATGTATTGCATGATATAATGACATCATGCATCATAATGCATAATATGATAATTGAAGATGAACGTGATGAGCAAGTCGATATACAAAGTTGGAGAGAAGCACCGGCTCCTGAGGTTGATATATGTAGAGATGAAAGAATTGTCTTTGAAGAGTTTCTTGCTCGACATAGGCAAATCAAAAATAAAGAAGCGCATTATGCGCTTCGTGATGCATTGATCGAGCATATGTGGGAACATTATGGTAATTCTAATAATTAAATGTAGTGGGTGTTATTTATTATTGTGGAATAAAATAATATTTGCATTATAATTATATTGTATCATATAAACATAAAATTAAAGATAAATTGTATATTATTAAAATAAAATTATATCATTTCAAAGATCTTATCAAGAAGACGATTAAAATAAAATTAATATTAAATATAATTTAATTAAAAATAAAATATATAATATAATTAAAGTCTAATTTATTAAATTACAACTATTAGTTTTGTTAAAAGAATAAAAGTATAAATATAAACTTTATGAGGGGTGTAGGAATAAAATTTGGTGCAGAATTTGGTGTAATGGGTTGGAGATGAAAAAAATTTGGTGTAAGAATATGCTGGGAATATTCCTTTTTGGTGTAAAATTTGGTGCAGAATTTGGTGCAATGGTTGGAGATGGTAGACATTAATTTTAAGTTAAAAAAGGAAGGGGTAATGTTGACTCATCACTATCTTTTTTTCCCAGGAATTAAAATACTAGGGGGGGACATGGGATTTTAATTCCATGAAAATGGGGGAATTGCAATTCCCTCCAACCAAACTACGGAATTTAATGGCCTTTGGAATTAGGTGGGAATTAAGTGGGAAGGGAATTTAAAATCCCTCCAACCAAACGTCCTGTTAAATGTTACTAACTCGGCTCATTTTATGTGTTTGGTTCGGTTAACGAAGTTTGACTGAAGTTATTTTTAATCTAATTGTTCATAATTTTAAGTTTAATATTAGTATGCAATATTTATATATTTAGAAACTACACTAAAAGTACTATTAAACACAAAAAATAAACAAAGAAGAAAGAGTTAATTTAACCAATGAATAGTAAGTCGGACAGGTAAAATGGGGCAGAAGGAGTATATAAAAAGTATATATTTATGTTTAAATTATTAATAGTTTGAGTAGTTTAGTTGATTAGATTCCAAATTCAAAGGTAAAAATTAAAAAATGTATAGGCATAAGTTCAAATCTCATTAACAATATTTTTTTTATATTCACTTATTTATTTTATCTCTTTTATTCTTTTCCAAGATAAATTAAATATTTTAGTCTACTCTTATGAATCATTTAATTAACAAATTAAATGTTTTTTTAATCTACTTTTTATGAATCATTTAATTAATGTAGTATACAAGTTTATATTATACTTCATTTGTATTTGAATTAATTTAGAAAAGTTTAAAGTT